TAAGGCAGGAGAACTGGCGAGAGAATGAGTTTCTTTCAAGCAGACTGTGATGAGAGCGACGTTCTGCAAAGGACCTGCTACAGGATGATGATGATGCAACTTACGGGGGGGGGGGGGGGGGGGAGTGCCTTGAAAAACTTTTTGGTGACCCCCCACACCCCCACCCCTCTCCATATTTTTTCCCAGATCCCCGGGGTCCAGCGCCTATGCTGCTTGGCAAGATCAAACAATTTTATTACTAGAACTAAAATTCATATATATATATATATATATATATATATATATATATATATATATATATATATATATATATATATATATATATATATATATATATAATAAGTATAAGGGTAAGGAGATGTTCCTGTAATCTTTGAATACAAATTCCCCGAAAGATAAAAGTTAGCAAAATGAGAATGGTCATCTGCTGCAAGAAGTGCATAATAAATCCACACAGATACTCATTGTACAACTCCTATCATAGTCATAGCCAAAAGATTTGAACGGGACAGTCTCTTAAATATTAACACAAACTACGATGTACTATAAAATAACCAAAATATACTCTGAGAACTCAGTAAACACTTTATATCCGAGTTATAACACTGAGTGTTGAATATGATAATTTGTGTGTGAAAATTACTAATGCATTGACAAGTTTATATTTCTGCTAAATTATTTTCAAGAACAATATATCCAGTGTGAAATAAATTAATTGCTAAACACACACATACCTTAAACGGCCAAAGAATTAGCCGGCTTTTTTTCCACGTACTCATATTTACACACGCAAGTCCTGCCGACAGTAAACAGACTAGCCCAATCAACTAGTCGCCTCCTAAAACACACAGCGATATTCATAACCTTCTGTTGGTCCCTCTGTGTAATTGATTCTTGCTAGGTGACCAAGCCCTGCAGCGACCTAGATCTTTGTTCATGGAAGTTCGCCTTACAAAAGTGCACAGGTAACGCAAATTGGACTATCACCGGTGTTTGACTCATAGTGCCAGAAGCTTCAAGTGCTAATCTGGTCCTTAAGTATACAGATATCGTTACTTGTACTAGTTTTAGTTTATCTGCAATAGTTCTCAAACCTGGTTGCCACGAACACGACATTGTGTCAGTAGTTCACCAACCGGTGACTTGCTTGTCTTATTCTAATTTAAACTGTTAAAAAAGACACATACACACACACACACGCTCACACACACACTCTCTCTTATTTGTTTCCACTAACGTATAGTGTAAAGAAGGAGTTGTCTCTTGTCTTCTAGTTTACACACTAAAGTTAATAAAGGAACATTTCCCACGCCTTAGTGCGTATTGTGCGCATAGAGCCAGACCTATATTTTATAGATAGACCAATCGGCACTCGGTGGGCGATTAGGTCAGCATCACGCCGGTTGCCTTGACTTCCCAGGACTGTCCTTTGATACCCATTCATGGCCGGGTCGGCCGGCTATATCAGGACCCGAACTCACTATCTATCTATCTATCTATCTATCTATCTATCTATCTATCTATCTATCTATCTATCTATCTATCTATCTATCTATCTATCTATCTATCTATCTATCTATCTATCTATCTATCTATCTATCTATCTATCTATCTATCTATCTATCTATCTATCTATCTATCTATCTATCTACCCACCTATCTATCTATCTATCTATCTATCTATCTATCTATCTATCTATCTATCTATCTATCTATCTATCTATCTACCCACCTATCTACCCACCTATCTACCCACCTATCTATCTATCTATCTATCTATCTATCTATCTATCTATCTATCTATCTATCTATCTATCTATCTATCTATCTATCTATCTATCTATCTATCTATATCTATCTATCTATCTATCTATCTATCTATCTATCTATCTACCCACCTATCTATCTAATCTATCTATCTATCTATCTATCTGTCTATCTATCTATCTATCTATCTATCTATCTATCTATCTATCTATCTATCTATCTATCTATCTATCTATCTATCTATCTATCTATCTATCTATCTATCTATCTATCTTTCTATCTATCTATCTATCTATCTATCTATCTATCTATCTATCTATCTATCTATCTATCTATCTATCTATCTATCTATCTATCTATCTATCTATCTATCTATCTATCTATCTATCTATCTATCTATCTGTCTGTCTGTCTGTCTGTCTGTCTGTCTGTCTGTCTGTCTGTCTGTCTGTCTGTCTATCTATCTATCTATCTATCTGTCTATCTGACTGTCTGTCTGTCTTGGCGCCGGTGACATCTTGTAGCAGACGGTTAGAGCGTAGCCTGTAGTGGCCGATATAAATGTATTTTGGCTAGTTTGTCGTGGTAATTTGTACCGAACGGTGTTTGAAGAAGTTATGCAGTCATGTAGCATTATTATGTGGGTTATGACTGTTCAAGTAGATTCTATAAAAGCAGTTATTTAAAACTGAAATGCTTTGGTTGTAGCGTTAACATCTGCAGGCACATATTTGGTCATTAACTGTGCGCCTTAGCATCCTCGTGTCGGTAACAGCGACTTTAGACAGCACTGTAGGAGAGTGGTGTGGGTTTGTGCCTAGTGCGTATCCACAGGAACCGGAAGGCGTGACTAGTGATTTGTAAAGCAAGCACGGCCTGGATTTTGCAAAAAGGGAAATCAACAGTTCTTGAGGCTTACTTTGATAGGTTTAATGATATTTGTATATTAAAGATTTTGTGTGTGCTCAACGGGTGTTAGGCTTGGAATGTTTTCGGTAGACTTACCTGTTGCCGGCCTGCAACACAAGCCATATGTGATATTTAAAAAAAAAGGTTGTTGACACCTGTTAAATAATTTTGATTTGGCTGCGCTTGCGAAATAAAATCTAGCAAGTTCGTGAAGATAAAAGAATTATACGGCGCGAGAAAGCCTTTTAGCTCTGTGTTCTCGGCTCGTCGCTTTTATCAGTCGCACTGTCGTTGCGTGACCGCTCGTGGTCTCAACGCAGAGTAGATTCGACGGACTGAGCCAATATAGATGGACTGGCTCGCTGGTTTCACGATTTTCGTGCTACGTTTTCAATAAGTAGACGGTATTAGATATAAATTTCCCCCAGTAGTTAAACTGTGTTAGATCTACATATCAGTGTTTATCATAGCTCGGAGATTTGATTTCAGGTCGCGGGAAGAGAACTTTTACTTTTGTTTGCTAAAGCCCATAATCTGTGTGGACACGATGTTGACTGTTAATGCCCTTTTTATGTGAAGTTGGTTAGTTTTATGTTTAGGAAATAAACAGATGCTGAATGTGATGGTTATATTCATTTGTTTGGTTCATGATAAACCTGCATTTCGTGCACATGGTCTGACTGGGCGTTGCTTATGTAGTCATATGTGATTATCGTTTGACTCATTATACACGCTTGGGTTATAAACATATTTAATGTCCCCTGTACCAAAGAACCTTTTTGTGTGTATTTTACATTCCTGTTTTTGCAGTTCAGCTGGAGATACTTATTGTCCTATTTACATTTCTGTCCTCCTCTCTCTACTACCTATTTTTCTTCTTCCCGCTACCTCATTTGCAATAATCCTTCGTTGAAAAGAGGCGGGTGGTGGTTGCGGCGGGGTTCTGGTTTGAAGGGGCACCATTGTTTCTGGACAAATGAGAGATGAAAAGGGGGGGGGGCGGGGTCTTTGGTTGAAGTCCGGATTATATTAGGGTTAAAATTACAAGTTAAAGTCGAGAGGATCGACTTCATTGCACCGGATTTCTATCCCATATGCGATATATTCTTCTTGCAACGCCTCAGGGCGTAGAGACAAAAAGTGAAGAGATATCTGTACAAGACCCGGTGCAATCAATGTGGCTCCTCTGTCGTCTTTAGGCTGCCTGAGCTTCCAGGCTCCTTGACAAATGTAGAATGGTTAATCACGCTCGTTCGATACTGAACGAGCATAGCTCTTGCTATGCTTGATGAGAAGTATCCAAACACCACTTGCACTCAGGTTTTCACCGACGGCTCTGCTATAGATGCAGTCAGAAAGGGGGGTTGTGGAATATACATTAAACCCCCTAGCAGTAGAGCAGAACCTCTCTATCTCTCTCTCTACCAGCAGGTGGCATCTGCACTAACTTCAGAGAAACTGTCCTCCTTTCTGCAGTTCAACACCTCATCACTCAAGAACACAGAAGGCACACAATTGTTATACTTAGTGACACATTGTCTGTTCTCCAAGCACTATCAAGCAAAAAACAAGACAAACTAATTGCAGATCTAAGGACTAACATTGGCTTACTCTCCAAGGAAGCAGAACTGGTCTTGCAGTGGATACCAGCCCACTGTGCTATTCAAGGAAATGAGAGAGCAGATGAGTTGACAAAAGCTGGGAGTGATCTTCCACAACCTCATCCACCACACAGCTACAAGGAAACCAAAACAGCACTAAAGCAGTCTTTCAAACGGGAGCGGAGAAAGCAGAATAGAGATTACAGACCAGAGAGTGACAGCATAAACAAACTCAACAGGAAAGAACAAACATCAATTTTTAGACTTCAGACTGGGCACTGTGGTCTTCGAGCACACCTGTACAGGATAGGCATAAAAGAATCTGCTGCCTGTGATTTTGGAGCAGAAAGACAGACCCCAGAGCACATACTACAGTACTGCCCTTACCTCTCCCAGCAAAGACTGTGGATCTGGCCCAGAGGATCCACATTGCGAGAGAGGCTATGGGGAACCGGTGACCACCTTAAACGCACAATCCTATTTTTGACCCAGACGGGACTCAATGTGTAGCATGACTGATGTCGAACGCAGAAGAAGAAGAAGAAGAAGAAGAAGAAGATGAAGAAGAAGAAGAAGAAGAAGAAGAAGAAGAAGAAGAAGAAGAAGAAGATACTTAATATAATTTGAATGCATTGCAATATAATGATATGTTTGTTTCGTGATTGAAATATTTAAAAGTGAGAGTTTTTTGTATACCCGCCGGATGTTGCAGACGATGCAGAAATGGATAACGAGCAGGATCTGTCATCGGAACAAACCGACAAACTTCTCCAGTTTCAGGTCCAGTATTGGCACATGTCTTGTTCATATCATTAGCTCATTGCGCTAAACTATTCTAGTTATTTGCCAGATACTTACATTATGCATTACATCCAACCAGTTGATCCTTAAAGCCAGCCATCGGAAATAGGTTGTTTATTTACTTCTGTGTAAGTGACTTGCCATTTCTACCGATGTTTCTAGTCAGCAGTCGCCTGCAGAACATCTGTCTGTCCTCACATGTGATCCAGTCTCTAGAATTTTAGAAACAGTTAATTATGAATAAAATTGGGGTTTTTCATAGTATCCTACCCAAATGACGTCGCAGGACAGTCCAACATTTTAGAGGGTGGTAAGACTGGGTTTCCCGGCTTTCTGATGCTTTTCTCTTTCACTTTCAGGACCACATCTTTTCTGAGGTTTGGACAACATTATTAATTTCGAAGTGAACTGTTTTAATGCAACGGCAACAGCCAACACGACAAAGCTAAAACCTTTCTGAAGAAAAAGTATTGGCTGTATTATATAGGGACAAATAATAATTAATACATCAAATTAAAGATGAGCGCAGAATAAATCTGAACTATTTAAATGTCAGTATTACATTAATTAAAATTACAACAGAATAATGTTTTTAAAATCACACAACATTCAAGGATGTTAGACACAAAAAATTTTATGCTGGTTCAGGTAAAATATTTTTAAGTTGTGAACAAAAACAAATCATCTATTCGGGAAGAACAGACAACCACCATTCAAACGGAGTCGCCATCATTTTGTCAAAAACAACGGAAAAATCGCTAATCGGCTGGGAACCAGTAAATGACAGAATTTTAACAGCACGTTTTCAGACCAAACATTTCAAACTAACTATCATACCATGCTACGCACCTACAAACAACGACACCGACAGCAACAAAGATAATTTCTATGACCTCCTGGTTGGTGTCATAAACAAAACTCCTAAGCACGACCTCCTTGTTGTAATGGGCGATTTTAATGCCAAGTTAGGGTCTGACAACAAAGGTGTTCAAAAATATATGGGAGTACACAGCCCAGGAGATATGAATCAAAACGGAGAGAGGCTAATTGAACTCTGTGAAATAGCAAATCTAACAGCAGCAAGCTCCTTATTTCCACATAAAGACATACATAAAATAACCTTGATTTTGCCAGATAACATAACAAAAAACCAGATAGATCATTTTTGCATCAGCGCCAAATTCTGTACATCAGTGCAAGACGTTAGAGCCTACAGGGGAGCTGATATTGGCAGTGATCATAATCTTTGTATTGCCAAACTAAAAATTAAACTCAAGTCTCTACTTAAACCACCCAGAAATAAGAAAATAACCTTACAAGCCCTTTTGTCAAAAGATCATCAAAGCGCATTTAATGCAGAGATACTCACCACCTATGTAATCAAAACTAATAATGCGGATACTACAAATAACATAGACACAAATTGGGACTTTTTCAAGAACACACTGACGAACGCTGCAGTAAACACAGTTGGTTATGTACAAAAGCAGACGAAGAAGTGGCTAAGCGACAACACTTGGTCAAAAATCCAAGAAAGGAAACAAGCAAAATTAACACTTTTATCAAAAAAAAGACACATCTTCATACGAAAAATACAGCACGCTAGACAAAGAAGTGAAATCAAATGCAAGGAAAGACAAACAGAACTTCATACACGACCTCGCCTCCGATGCTGAAACAGCTGCCAAGATTGGAAACAACAAAGCCGTATTCCATATTATGAAACAACTGTGCAATCACTCACCCACACTAAATACACCCATTAAAGACAAGCAGGGTAAACTACTGCTATCCGACGACCAACAAACAAAGCGATGGGCAGAACATTTCAAGGAAATATTAAATAGGCCAAATCCTGACATCATTTCCAATTTAGAAGAAGAAATTATTACACCAACACTAATTGCCTCCAGCGAGTCATTCACAATAGAGGAGATTAAAACAGCTATTAAAAAATTAAGAATAAACAAAGCTACCGGAGAGGACAACATCTCAGGGGAAATGCTCAAAGCAGCGGATGAAAACACCCTGCAACATTTGCTCCAGCTGATGGTTGAAGTCTGGCAAAACGAATACCCACCACAACAATGGAAAGATGGTGTAATCTTCAAATTACCTAAAAAAGGTGATTTATCCGATTGTAACAACTGGAGAGGCATCACCCGGCTTTCGATACCAGGGAAACTATTTTGTAGTAAGCTACTAGAAAGATTGAAAAAATCCATAGATGAAAGATTAAGGGAAGAACAAGCCGGTTTTAGATCCAAGCGGTCATGCATAGACCACATCTTTACTCTTAGAATAATTGTTGAAGAATCTACACAATTCCAGTCGAAATTATTGATCAACTTTGTCGACTTTCAAAAAGCCTTCGACAGTATCCATCGTCCAACACTCTGGAAATTGCTTAACATCTATGGTTTCCCCATCAAATATATCAACATCATAAAATCTTTTTATAATGAAACACGATGCTGTGTAAGAACTGATTCTGGCAATTCTGACTGGTTCCCGGTGGAAACAGGAGTGAAGCAAGGCTGTGTCCTATCGCCGATGCTTTTTGGTATAGCAATTGACTGGGTCATGCGCAAGTGCATAAATAACTCAAATTTAGGCATTACATGGGTTGACAAAATTCTGGAAGACCTAGACTTTGCCGACGACATAGCACTCCTGAGTTCAGAACACACAGACGCCCAAGAAAAAATCAATCGACTCCAGAATTTCTCAGAACAAATTGGACTCCAAATTAACACCGCAAAAACAAAAATTCTAGACCTTACCAACAGTTCAGTTGATATCACGCTGAACAACAACAGCCTTGAAAAAGTCAACAGTTTCACTTATCTAGGGAGCAAGATGTCATCTACAGGAGATACCGCACCAGAAATATCATTTAGAATAGCACTGGCATCTAGTGCCTTCAATAAACTGTCTAACATCTGGAAATCAAAGACACTTAGCAAACACACAAAACTCAAGATCTTCAATTCTTGTGTGATTCCAGTAATAACCTATGGATGCGAGAGCTGGAAATCAACGAAAACTCTAGACACAAAATTAGACAGTTTTGAAAATAAATGCCTTAGAAGAATACTAAATTTCAAATGGTCAGATTTCCGAACCAATACACAAATAAGGCAAGAATCCAGGCAAGAGTATGTGTCTAATTTTATACGAAAACGCCGCTGGAACTATGTCGGCCACGCCCTTAGAATGGATAAATCAAGACTTCCTTACCAAGCCCTCATTTGGACACCACAGGGGAAAAGATCTCGTGGAAGACCAAGGGAAACCCTACGTAGAACTATCATCAGGGAAGGCTCGCTCATGGGCCACTCAAACATCCAAGACCTACAACGGATTGCAACGGACCGCCGTGCATGGAGAGTCGCGACCTCTGCCCTATGTGCCGCACTCGACACAAGAGGAAAGACTAACTAACTAACTTATTATAGAAAAATAATGTAAAAAATGTATTTTATCAAAATTAACTTTTTTTTAAAATCAGGAAATGATGCACCAACCATGATCATCATCATCATCATCAGGTGCCTTGCCGACTGGCGTGGGCGATCATGCCTCTCCATAATCTGCGATCTCCTGCAGCATGTATCAGTTCATGTGCCGTCACACCTCCGTGCCATGCAACAAGACTGTCAAGCATCTTCTCTCGTTGTCTTCCTCTATCTCTCCTTCCACATATCTTTCCAGTGGTCAAAACATGTTCTATTTTCCCTCTTCTCACGATAAACTTTGCAAACGAAAGGACTTCCTGTTAGTAATCCTAATTGCATCAAAGTTCATTTTCTCCCAAAACAGAACCAAATTAGAGTGTCTCTATGCTACGCCAGTGAAGTGGCGATTACTCCATTAGGGATATATTAATTCACAAGTATACTAGTATATTGACAAAAAGTGATTAAAGAAATAATGACCCCAAAACATCTAGAACAGGCCCTAACCCCAACCCCCCTACGTCCCGCAAGAGAGTGCAGCCTAGGTCCCACCACTGCATGCAGCCTGTCTACCAGCCCCTGAAATATTAGACTGTCCCTTTGATTTCCCCTGTTTGGGGTAGGATATTAAGAAAGCACCCAAAATTGTAGGTTTCAAAAGCAGAATCAACAACTGATTTGTTTTCCCCATATGCTTAGTCAGATACATACATAAAGCACAGAGAAAAGATATTCTGCATGGGTTACGCAATTTTAGTTAGCCTTCTATGGGGGTCAATATACCTAAACTAACTTTTTCTAGCGTTCTAACACTCTTCAAGTCCAGTAAACTCAATTTTGGCATTCATTTTAATGTATACTTTAAAGGTTTAATCATGTTTTTTTTGGGGGGCAAGCTTTTTAAAAAGCAGTTTTAAAATCATACCCTATCAGTGTGAAAATAGCATGGCTCCCTGTGACATATAATTGGGCTATCCTCCAAATAACCGGCACAACAGATGGCGGCCAAAAAGAGGGCCTCAGTCACGTGTCAATTGAGAACTTCTGGCGATCTAATTTGCAGTTTTCCGGCGACTACCGCCACCGCCGAGAGTATCCCTGACGCCGCTCACACGGTGTGGATTGGGGCTAAACCATATCGCTAGGACTCACGAGCAAAGCTGCAGGAGATGCTGAAGCTGCTGCTCGTGAGTCCCAGCCATCTAGTTTAGCCCCAATCCACGCTGCATGAGCGGCGTGGGGGGATACTCTCGGCAGTGGCGGTAGTTGCCAGAAAACCGCAAATTAAGTCGCCGGAAGTGCGCAGCTGACACGTGACTGAGGCTCTATTAGGTTGGTTTTTTTCAGGTGCCATCTTTTGTGCCCGTTATTTGGAGGATAGCCCATAATTGTGTGTGTGTGTGTGTAACTAGGTTTATTTATTTATTTAATGCTCCTAACACAACAAATGCAAAATTGCATTCAGTGTCCATGTGAGTATTTATTTGGTCTAATTTGTCTCCTTTTAAATGTGAGTGCAAGCCTTCAATTTAACAACTTCATTTACTAAAGTGGTACAATGTGGAAATTCAATTTTTCAATACCTATCTACAATGCTGGTTGCGTTATTTAAAAATAAAGCAGAAAATTTGACAAAAGTACCTATAATTAATAATTGTAGGCTATCATCCGAAAAAAGGTCCTAAATTATAGCCTAACAGGGCCTCAGTCATATGTAAATTGCGGACTTTCGGCGACTATCGCCGAGAGTATCCCCGCGGGGAGCGGGGCTAAACTAGATGGCTGGGACTCACGAGCAGCAGCTACAGCATCTCCTGCAGCTTCCTTCATTTTATTTGCTTGTGACTCCCAGCCATCTAGTTTAGCCAGGTGCGTAGCTGCGCGTTTGATACTCTCGGCGTTAGCGGTATTCACTAGAAGTCCACAATTTACATGTGACTGAGGTCCTATAAGGGTATATTTTAGGCTTCGATAATTTGGGACGGTTATTCGGAGGATAGTCATAATTATTTGTTAACACACATGTGTGCACATGCACACACACAAAAAATAGGAATGTAAATGACTGAATACTTTTGTGAGATAGACAGTATTTTAATATGATGTTCTGTGACACAATCATAATTTTGCAGGATTTGACTGGGATTGACCAGATTCAAAGATGTCTAGAGATTCTCCAGGCCCATGACTGGAACATCGAGGCAGCAGTGCAAGATACATTCAATGAACAAGAAGGAGCTCCAACTGTTTTCCATCGACCCTCTCCTCCTGAGGACAGGGCACCATTAGTCAATCTTCAACCAGCAAATCAGAGGTGAGTTCATTCACTGATTATGCTGTGTGATGTTGATTCCACTCAACTCAGGCAGTAACATCTCATAACCACACCTGTATAACTCTTGTGTACTCAGCACTTGTCTGTTGTCTGCCCAAGGTGTCCTGATCCACACATGCTTATTGTATCTGCACCACTTGGTGGTGAACTGATGTATGACAAGCTGGATGTTGTGAGAGCCCTTCAGGAGCAAGTGAACAGTGCTGAAGAACAGGTGGATCATTACGGTCTGAGGAGTATTCCACTGCGAGGAGTTACAAGAGGATCTGGTCGACGTTCGACACTCAGGGGAAAGGCGAGACGGATATACAATCAGACAGTTACTGGTACCATCGGAATTTTAACTCTTCGCTTGCTGCTGGAGATAGGGACAGAGCGCTTATGGGGGTGTCCTGAGTCAACACGTTTATTGTAATAATAATAAATATTAAATTTACAGATAATTGTAAATTGTTTCATATGTTTGCTTGCAGGGTTATACTTTTTCCTGGCAGACGACCACAGGGCCTTTTTGCATGGACATACTATCTGCTGACCATGCCCATACGATTTGTATGGTCAACAGTTTTCAGTATTATCAGAGCTTTATGTGAGTGTTTTCATATTATATAAAACACTGTTTCATGTGTTTGTGTGCACCTGTATGTGTTCTTGTTTGAAACACTTGCTCTTTCTCTACTGTAATAAAATGTAACACTTGGTATTAGAGATTCAGCCAGCTACTGTAATTCATATCTGAAACACCTGCTATTTCTCTACTTCATTCATTCATTGGCACCTTTCTGTTTTTCCAGACGAAAGTGTTATATTGCGCTATGAGGAGGCATGAGACTCGCAGCCCATGGGGATGGCGAGTGTGACTAGCAAGACCCGCCCGTGTCAAGAAAAGTCTTCCACAATGAAAGCATGGGATTTTAGGACCTTTGTTAACATTTGCATTTAATCTGTTTCTTTTCAGACGCTCAGCTTTCATCCTTTCTGCAGTAATTTCTTCCTTCAGTCTCATTCCCTTCCTGATATGCCCTTTCCGCACAACACGGTCTATGGCATTTTGTTTCTGTGAGTCCGCCTCAATACCTGTATCATTCATGTCCCGCTTGCACACATCTTTATAACGTAGTGGAGGTCGGCTCTACTTTATTATTATAACACTTTAAACCAAAAATTTCAGGAGCTATAGTAGTGCAATGGGTATTAAATTACAAGGTCCCTTTTCATGCCTTTAGGCGCATCGGGCATTTGGAAAGAGCACTCATATTTTTACAGACTAATCGGAACAAGGTGGGTAAAGTGGTCAGCATTACGCCGGCCGTCTTTTCTTTCCCAGGACATACATCTTGGTACCGATTTTAGGCTGGGTCGACCTGCGACGCCCCATACCATGATAAAAAAACCCACCAGCAAGCAGTGGGTTTCGATGCAATGGCTATTGCATCATCATTATTAAATTATTAGGGTATTGTAATTTTAGAGTTACACTTGTTTGTGTTTTTAAATCTCAGATGTGTCCTAATTGTCATCATTGTCATTTGTCTTAATCATAAACAACACTGTTTCATTATTATGATTATTTTTATGATCATTGTGATCATTATCATGATCATTATTATTATGATCCTTATAATTATTATCGTCCTCATTGTAAATTGACAGTACACTAGAATAGACAGATAATCCATTCCTAGAAAAACTAATTCAGCGGACAGGGAGTAGAAGTTCTGGAAGCTATTTAACACTAAAGGGGGTACATAGGCCGACATTTAATCAGGTTGCAACTGGTACTATTAGCGTGTTGACTGTTCATTGGTTACTGAAAAGGGGGATGGAGCATGTATGGGAATGTCCAAGTACAGTGATGTTAATTCTCAATTCATTCATTCATCCATTGTAAACAAAAAAAATCATTTTTATTACTAAGATCATTATAGTTATCATCATTTTAAATATTACCAACCTCATTAAAATTAATTATAATGATTGTAATTATTGTCTTCATCCTAAACTAGCTATAATATGATTCTAAGGTGATTCTTTTAACCTTACTTTATGGCTGTAAGTTTCTTTTATTCTTCCTCAGTCAATTTCTTCCGACCAGACCCCAGACGATGTAAGTCACATTGTATTAACTTGTCTTATGTTTGCATTTATTATCTGTAACAAGCATACATCTGTGATAGGCATGGTTAACACATGGGCAAACAGACCAATGGTTTGTATGGAGTGGGAACATTAAGAACAACAAAAACAGTTACTCATAAACTATAAACCATCATTAACTGGTGCCTGCACAGAATAGAGGCAATTAAATGGTATACTGTGATCATTATTGTTGAACATATATAGGGAACTAGACAAATTCTTTTGAGTCAATAGGTGGAGAAAAAAACAACAACCCGCTGGCTTTTAGTGGGACACATGTTGAGAAAACTTGAGAACAGTATAGCTAGAATGTTGTTGCACTGGAAACCACAGGCAGACCCAACAGGATAAGGAGGACATAGGGAGCTGCATGCAGTTACGCATTTGTTGTCCCAATATGGGACACACATTTTTAGTTTTTTAAAGTCCTACTCTGGCTGTTGTCGGGGGCACTAATATAACCTAATTGTTGAATAGGGTTTCTGGTACTTGCGCCTGGGGGATTCTCATCCAAATGGTGACACTTTATGTCACATGGTGTTTATCGCAAGAAGACAATAAACTAGAAACTGAAAAAAACACTAACTCTCTTTAAAAAAAAGAAGCAGCTCACAAAATAAGACTAGTTGTCAATAAAGAAAACACACAATACATGATAATAACAAGACAGGGAAAGGATATAAACTCCTGCCACATACAAATTAATAATATGAAAATCAAACGAATGGAAACATATAAGTACTTGGGTGCATACTTCAATTACTACAACATGCTGAGAGAAGAAATACAATCTGGAAATAAAGTATACTATACCCTTCAACATCTGCTAAAGTCAGAGTTTCTGTCTTGCAACACCAAGATCAAAATATATGAAACAATGATAAGACCAGTCGTTTTATGCGGCATATAAACTTTGAGCGCAACCAAAAGAGATGAAGCCATATAACACATTTTCGTAGTCTTAGGATGAATCTTTGGACACATCAAAGATGCAAACAGCAGGGAATGGAGAGTGAGAAACAACATCAAAATCACCATTGATCACTGGCATCATGAGGGCTAATAAACTGAAATGGCTAGGGCATATTGAGAGAATGTCAGATGGCAGAGAGGTTAAAACTGTAAACACAAGGGAGCTGAATGGTCGTAGACAATGGAGAGATAATGCCCAGACAGACCCGGAAACACTTGGTGTCACCAGCTGGAAAGAAGGCGAGCCAGAGAGATGAATGGAGGTGGGAGATATTTGCAGCAATGAACCTCAAGGGCTCAGAATGCTGAAGAAGAAGAATAATTTGTGCAACCAGAGTAGTTAACAAAGATTGCCTGGAAAAGATATAATAATATAAACCAGACAACAGTCTTTCTTTGAAAACCGTGAACTGATTAGAACAATAGGCAGTATTTTTTTTTTACATATGAGAATGATTGGACTTAAAAACTTGGTTACAACTGGCAAGATGGAAAAACAGAGCAAGAGGAAGGTAAAGAGATAAATATGTGGATTGCCAGGCCAAATGGATGGGTCTAGACAAGAGCACTGATCTGATCCATGATTCTGTTGATCATATGAGATGAGGAAGCATGACTGCCTACCTTTCGGCAGAGCACATAACAGGGATAAGAATGTCCTATGGTGAGAAGTGTGGCTGTGGAGAATATTGTGACAATAGTAAAGATCTGCAGTAAGAGACACAGTCTAGCCGAGAGAAATATTTCTGAACTGAGTAAGACTGACATGTAGGAATATCAGTAGTTTTGATCTAGACTAGTGGTCAAACTATGGGGCACACTCCCCTAAGGAGGGCGTGAGACAATTCTTTAAAGGGGTGGGGGGAAGGTCAAGCAACTTTTTAAAATGAGTTTAGTTGTATTTGTAATATTCTATAATATTAGATATAATATAATATTTTTTTTTATTATAGATACAATATATTTTTTTTACTGTTTAGAAAATAAAAAGCCAAGGACAACGCAAACAGAGGTTGTTTTATTCTTTATTTTATGTTTTATCTGAGTATGCAAAGATATTTTTAATGCAGCACAGTATATGTTGTATCTTCAAAAGTCATCCACTGCTGCCCTTTTCACTGTGATTTTTGTGCCAGATTGGGTTTCTACCTTGAAATCACCTGGGACTGAAAGAGTTAATAACTGGTTTTGTTGTATGTTTGAATGATTGAATCAGTTTAGATATTTTTATTTCCCCTAGTTGTGACCGACCCTGTGAGGGATGTGACAAACTTTATTTCGACATTCGAGTCCAAGTTTGGCAGGACACACCCTGTGTTCTACCAGGGCACTTACAGCCAGGTGAGTTACATTCCTGTTTGCTGGCAGTCAGAACTTCTGTCACACACCGCTGTCGAATTAAGAATCAACATCACAGTACTCGGGACACTGCCACAAGTGCTCCGTCCGCATCTTCAGCAGCAAGTGAAGAGTTTCAATTCCGATGGCACCAGTAACTGTCTGATTGTATGTCTGTCTCATCCTTCCCCTCAGTGTTGAGCGTCAGCCAGATTCTCTGGTAACCCCTTGCAGCATCATTCTCCTCAGACTGTAATGATCTGTCTGCGCCTCTACACTGTTCACTCGTTCCCAAAGGGCCCTCACAATATCTAGCTTTAGTTCACCACTAAGTAGTGCAGAGCGTCCAGTCTATTTGCCTGCTAATTTCTCAAACACACCGGCATAACCTGGAGAAAATATCCAAAGGGTGCCAACTACCTGGGACCTCTGAAGTGATGCTTGCCACTCTGCACAAAGCATGCCTGTCTTCACCTTTCTCAACATGCTCTGTAAGTCATGTGTGCACAACTGATTCTCAAGCTAGCAGAAGGCAGTAGAGATTGCCTCCACCTCCATTCTCAAACTAGATGTTGTGATATCATATGCAAGGCTTTGCTGCACTAAGCGATGTCCATTTGCCTTTGCTATGAACCCCCATGCTGTTCGTCTGCCCCTCAGCCCAGAGCCATCTATATAATCACATCACTTGGGCGGAAATTGTCATGAATCATTTGTTAAACTTCTGATTCTGCAGCGCCAGCTGACCAGTCTCTGCACTCACGACCTAAAGTGATTAAAACCCTACACGTCTAAAACTTGTTCGGACACCTTGACCCACTCCTCTTCTTGCTCAAATTTATCAAGCCTGCACACATGTCCAATTGTGTCTTTATCTTGCCAGTCCATAATCTATCACCGACGGAACCACATGCTAATACATTCTTCTTCTGCCTTTCTATCCCCCAATGGAGCATAGGCCCTCAACCAACTCACGCCAAGTCGTTCTATCCTTCGCCATTGCATGGAGCTCTCCCCATGTCCTCCCAATCTTTCTAACCTCATTCTCCAGCTCTCTTCTCCGTGTGTTTTTTTGGCCTTCCTTTATTTCTATGCCCCTGTGGGTTCCAATGCAAAGACATTCTAGTTATGCTGTTCTCCTGTTTTCTCAGTGTGTGCCCTATCCAACGCCAGCATCTTTTCCTCACCTCCTGATCCACTGGAGCCTGTTTAGTTCTCTCCCAAAGTTCTACATTAGTTATTCTATCATACCATTTTATTCCCTCTATTCTGCGCAGGCACCAGTTAATGAATGTCTGTAATTTATTAGTAATTGCCTTGGTTGTTCTCCATGTTTCCGCCCCATACAATAGTACTGATTTGACATTAGAATTAAAAATTTTTAGTTTAGTATTTCTTTTAATTTCTTTTGACCTCCACAAATTCCCTAGTGCTATGAAAGCCCCTCTTGCCTTTTGTATTCTTATTTTAATATCTCTATCAGTTCCTCCATCTTTATCTATATTACTGCCTAAATAGGTGTACGACTCCACGTCTTGGAGTGGGGTGCCATTAAGAGAAACCACATTACTTTTTGCCTGATTTATTCTCATTATCTTTTTCTTTTCTTTATGGATTTTCAGACCAAGCTGCTGTGATCTCGCATTAAGTATATTTAATTTATCTTGTATCTGATTCCGTGAATGGGACAGAAGAGCAATATCATCAGCGAAGTCCAGATCATCAAGCTGTTTTGTAGGGGTCCACTGAATTCCATTCTTGGTGTTAGCAGTTACTGTTTTCATAGTCCAGTCTATAGCCAGTAAAAATAAGAGAGGCGACAAAAGACATCCCTGTCGCACACCTGTTTTTATTTCAAATGCATTTGTTAGCTTTCCCTCATGAAGAACTCGACATTTCATGTCTCTATATGTTGCCTTTAATAAGTTGATAATTTTCTGTGGGATTCCATAGTGCCCCATCAATTTCCAGAGAGATTCCCTATCAATGCTGTCAAATGCTTTTTCATAGTCTAATACATTGCGAACAGCATTCTTTGTTCCTTGTCCATTGCTGCCAGAATCTTGGGGGCATTGATTCCTTTTTGGGGACGGAGCGGTTATGGGAGTGTCCTGTGTGCCATAATGTTGAATCGAGGTCTACAACAGTTCTAGATTCTTCCCCCCCCCCCCTTCCCTGTGGGTTCCAGGACCCTATTCTAAGGAAAACAAGAATAGACCCACTGTTTACCCAGAAGCATGTCGTAAGAGTCGACTCATTGGGAGTTTTCTTCAAAGTCGGGGTGCATCTGCCTGAGAGGCAAGGAACCAGCAGTCTGCATACAGATAAGTCAGATCTTTAAAAACCGATGCACAGGCAACACTCAGGTTCTGGAACAGGACTGCAGTCCAAAAGTTTAAGCTGGTGAATGCGAAGAAGAAGAAGTTCAGGATATCACATATTGGATCTATTTTCCCTGCAGAAGCTCATTAGCGATATTCTAGACATGGTCTTAATTACTTCATTTCTCTAACTGAATTTCGCTTGCATTAAAGACTGTTTAAAAAATAGACCTGCGTACCCAATCACCTCCTCCTGTGTCCTTCTCCGTCCAAATCACAGGCCTGCACATCTTCAGGTTTTGTGTGTGTGTTCTCCACCTAAGTTGTGTTAATAATATTTGTGACCATTCCACTTCTTTATCTTTTCCTTTTTCACTTCTACCATAATCTGTGATGTATTTATGTGCACATTATAGTCAAATGATCAAAACTAGTATGTATGTTTTATCAAGCATGTGTAAGACATAGACTGAGAAGATCAGGAGAGTTGTTATCTCAGGATGGATTCTAGTGGTATTTTATTGGGGGGGCTGGGGGTCAGTGTGTTCCTTGTGAGCATGTCATAGAAGGTGACTATTGAGGGGTACTTGGACAGCTCAAAATGAGCAATCCTGGTGTTTTGAAAATAGCAAGGTCTGAAAGAACTTATTACAAATATCAGAAATATAGTCATCATGTTTTGTTCATGTTTTGAGAAGAACATATTGTGACAGTTGGAAAGGTTTGTGGAAAAAGAGACAGAAGAAGGCTTTGAGACAATTCTTGACAGCCTTTTTTACATGGCAAGGAGTGGTGTCAACACAGACTGATACATGTTGTTGAATGAAGATCACAGATTATGGAGAGGCATGATCACCAGTTAGCAAGGCAGTTGATTATGATTTCAACACCTGGTGTGTTGAGTTGAAAGGTGCAGATGTTGCAGTCTGTTAAACACAATACAGCACTCCTTCTCCCCCCCCCCCCCCTCCCCCCCCATCAACCTTTCTTTTTCTTTTAAGGGCTGACAGAACATGAAGAGTTGTTTAGTTGATATGTTGTACTTAAATGTTTTCAACGCGTTTTCTAAGTGTTTGCCCTAAGGAATAAATTCATGTTGTATACTGTTTTTTTTGTGTCTTTTAGACATGATATGTTTGTGACTGTGTAACCTGTGTGTCTGTAGGCACTGAATGATGCCAAGAAAGAGCTCCGGTTTCTGCTGGTGTACCTCCACAGCGATGAACACCAGGACACAGAACAGTTCTGCAGGTAAGCGTGTTCACTTCTTTTGTTTCAACATTTCAATCTCCCAGTTTCAACCTGCCTTTCTGACCCTACCTGTATGTCTCTTCCTCTCTGACTCTGCTTGTCTGTCTCTTCCTCTCTAACTCTGCCTGTATGTCTCTTCCTCTCTGACTCTGCCTGTCTGTCTCTCTATCCCTTCTTATCTCTCACTTTTCACTGTTTCTGCCTACCTCTTTACCTCTATGTTTTTTCTTCTCAATCTCTCATTCTCTATCCCTACATCTTTGACTCCCTCTCTTTGTCTCCTCTGATATGTCTCTTTCTATTTTTTTCAGTCTCAAAATTTCTACTCAAACATGAACCCAAACATATATTGTTTTCTAACTAATATATATCTGGGGTTCCCACCCGTGGAATTAATACTTCATTTGTCCTGTACTTTCATTTGAGTGGCACCACAATGCCCTCATCCTGTCAGGGTTGATCTTTTATCTTATTGTCCTAATATTTCTGTGGTTGATTCTTCATATTTGCCGCAGCTGACAAAACATTGTGACAGAAGACTTGACAGTTGTCATAGTTTTCCACACATAAGTGACAGAACCTGCTGGTTAATTTATCACTATCATCCTTTTATGCTGCTGTACATTACTTACTTTTTTCAGCACCAAGCAATGATCACTTTAATCCCTCCTATCCCAAGGAGGTGAACTTACAAAGCAGTAAATACTTAGGTTTAAACATGTTCAGCAGAGACCAATGAAACAAATGGTTAACATAATTATGTAGAAACAACACATTAAAAAGAAATCTATCTTTGACAGCAAAAACATCATATTATCTTTAGAATGTCTAAGAAATATACGATGAGTATCGAAAGGGTCAAGGCTTTTAGTCTATTATTCCATTCTATCCTTGATGAATTCCTTAACTTAAAAAAAAAGATATCATTATATTTTGTCTAAATTGCATGCAGTATGTTCCTGCAATTATGTGTATTTTATATCTGACAGCTTCAAAGGATCTCTCCTCTCCCCCCCCCCCCCCCACTTACAACCCATACTGAAAAGTAGTAAATACATTTAGCAAGAACAGTTCAAAATTTCAGTTCTAAAACGTTACAACAGGTATAAGGCGAGTGGAAGACCTCGGAAAAGATGGAGTGATGGCATTAAGAACAGCCTTACAGAAATGAACATCAGTCTTAATAGTGCTCTTGACAGAGCTCATCAACGAACATTACATCTCCCCCCCGACACTTCGATGAGGTACAAGGTGGAAGAGAAGAAGAAGTTCAAAATTTTTTTTGTTAAGGCTAGCTATACAACAGAAAGGGGTATGGTTGAGAGGTCACATTATCTGCCTCGCACTCAAAAGCTGCAGCCCTTAACATAAGGCTAAGAATGTGTACAATAACATATATCCTCTTGTCTCTTGAGTAGTCTTTTTTTTAAAAATTGTTTTCTCATTTGTGATTATTCTCCCAGTGCAAACATTATGTCTACTATTTCAGGGACATTTTATGCAGTGAACCGTTTGTGAATTTTATTAATGCCAACATGCTGTTTTGGGCCTGCAACACCAGCAGTCCAGAAGGCTATCGGGGTAAGTGCAAAGTCTGTGGTCACATTGGATCAAATGTACAGTGTGAGTTCTTGATCATTCATATAATTTCATTAACTTGCTGCTTATTTTGAAGATAATGTTACAGATGCTATGTTGTATTTGTCACTGACTTGCACAGTGGGAAATCAAGAAACTAGTGGGTGTATTTATCCATGGAAGGGTTTGCTTCATTTGGTAGGTCTTATGTCAGGAGCATAACATGGATTTACTGCCCAGGACATAACAGTTTGAAGATTTTCACCACTGATCAGGCTTTATGAAATCATCCATGATTCTAACTTCTATGCTGCCACGGTGAAGGATCCATATTCAATAACTGTTTACTTTACTGCTGTTGTTCCATAGAAGCTTCATGTTGTTTCTAAAAATCCAGTGTTTCTTTAACTGCTAAATGTATTCAGTAAGATCTTTTTTCTTTTCATTTCCCCTGCCAGTGGTTTTCAGATGAAAAGACCACAGGCCTCTGTGGAATCTATGGTGTGATGCATATCCTCAACGGATCCAAACAGCTTGGTTTCCAGCGAAATGCCAGCTGGCCAGGCATGGGGTGTCTCTTCTACAGGGACAGATATACTCAAACCAGATGGAGCTCATCAGCTGGGAGCAGCAATCCATCTTGAAGAAGGAATATCACAAACCTCCGTTGTCCAATGGATAGGTCTTGTTCAACAGTGGACTTGACAACGTCATCCTCAGATGTTAGAGTTGGAGGTACAGGGCCAACAAGAGCACATAGTCCAGAATGGTATCACAGCCGAACCTGAAAACTATGGCACCATGAAACACCTCCTTATTTATTAGGATGAACATTGTAATGTGAAATGTCTAGAATTCATTCAGTTTAGCTGCTGTTATTAACTGGTACCTTAAATTTTCTAAACTTGAGAATCAGGAATTAGGTTCTCTTGGCTATTGTAGAGTTCATAAATATTAATTTTTTTATGGCTGCTGATGTGCTAATGATTATCAATTCATATTTCGTGATTGCTGCTTTAATCTTGTAAACTAAATTATTGCAGTGTCACAGGCTCTGCGAGAAAATGCCTACCCATTCCTGGCTGTGATTGTGTTACGAGACAACAAGATGAGTGTGGTTGCCAGGATAGAAGGCCATGTGACAGGTGCCTATCTGCTTGCTTGTTTATGTCATGCTAGTATTATTCATGTTGATCTTCTTCTTACGCCTTCTCCTCCTCTCCAACTTATTCCTCCTCCTCCTCTTTCTTGTCCCTTTCTTCCTCGTTCTCCTCCTCGTACTAACATCTCCCATTGGAGTGGAGTCGAGTTTAGTCAAGAATTGACATCACAGCACCCGGGGCATTCCTATGTGTGCTCTGTCCTCATCTTCAGCATCCAGCGCAGAGTTCCAATACTGATGGTACCGGTCACAATCTGGTTATATGTCCATCTTGCCTTTACTCTGTAATGAGCCGGCCTGACCCTCTGGTTACACCCAGGTGCCTCATTCTCTCCAGGTCATAATCTCCATAGTGCAGGAGTGATCAGAGTCTTTCAGGAAACTTACACCAGTCTCTTCATAGATTTGTTTATGGTTAGTTAAAAGTTTCAAAAAGGTAGTCAATCAATCATTGCTAACGTTAACATTTCACAACCCAAGCTGCAACAACTGTTCCAAAATCTGAAGAAGCATGTTCAGACATGCCTGGTGACCCAGATTGGATATTTCCAGCATCTGCTAATGGGGGTTTTAATGTGAGAAGTGCTTCTTTACCCAAAACATACAGCAATGGAGCAGCATTATTTTGACGATGTCTTAAGCCTACAAAACAAATGAGAGCGTGTTAGGGTACACCCTCTAGTTTTGTTATCCTTTGCTACCATTTTGCCATTCTTTGCTTCCATTATGGGCCAAGCCTGTATACTAACAATGTCAACAATTTTTTTTTTACTGGATTAATTTCATAAGTATTTTCTTAAAGTTGTGTTTGTCTTTGCAGGTACTCAAGATTTGATTGAGCGGTTAGAGCAAATTATGTCAGAGAATGAATCATCATTGGCCACAGCTAGAGCTGAAAGGTAAGTAAAGTAAAGTAAAGTTCCTTTTTCACGCCTTTCGGCGCATCGGGCATATGGGCAGAGCGTCCCATATTTTTACAGACCGTCAGCATTACGCAGGCTGTCTTTACTTTCCCGGCACAGCCCATCCTGGTACCCATTTTAGGCTGGGTCGACCTGCGACGTCCCATACCACGACAAAAATCCACGCGGCCCGCAGTGGGTTTCGGTCGCGGTATGCTGGCTTACGAGTCGGACTCGCATTGCCTTAGCCACGGACGCCGCGCAGAGCTGCAGGGTAGTTTGTTATATCTGTTTATTGTTAATACTAGCCATCCTTTTCAAATCAGGAATTTTCTCTTTTCTTCCTCTCTCTTTCATTTGAGAAATTCAGTTTGATGTCTTTTCGTCTTGTGACCAACAAATGACCACTTTGTCTTTCTGAGGTATGTTGAAGTTGTTTTTGTCTCTTCTTCTTCTTCTGCCTTTCTATCCCCCAATGGAGCATAGGCCCTCAACCAACTCACGCCAAGTCGTTCTATCCTTCGCCATTGCATGGAGCTCTCCCCATGTCCTCCCAATCTTTCTAACCTCGTTCTCCAGCTCTCTTCTCCATGTGTTTTTTGGCCTTCCTTTATTCCTATGCCCCTGTGGGTTCCAAGGCAAAGACATTCTAGTAATGCTGTTCTCCTGTTTTCTCAGTGTGTGCCCTATTCAACGCCAGCGTCTTTTCCTCACTTCCTGATCCACTGGAGCCTGTTTAGTTCTCTCCCAAAGTTCTACATTAGTTATTCTATCATACCATTTTATTCCCTCTATTCTGCTCTTCTGTCCCATTCACGGAATCAGATGCAAGATAAATTAAATATACTTAATGCGAGATCACAGCAGCTTGGTCTGAAAATCCATAAAGGAATGACAAAGATAATGAGAATAAATGAGGCAAATAGTAATGTGGTTTCTCTTAATGGCACCCCACTCCAAGACGTGGAGTCGTACACCTATTTAGGCAGTAATGTAGATAAAGATGGAGGAACTGATAGAGATATTAAAATAAGAATGCAAAAGGCAAGAGGGGCTTTCATTGCACTAGGGAATTTTTGGAGGTCAAAAGAAATTAAAAGAAATACTAAACTAAAATTTTTTAATTCTAAAGTCAAATCAGTACTATTGTATGGGGCGGAAGCATGGAGAACAACCAAGGCAATTACTAATAAATTACAGACATTCATTAACTGGTGCCTGTGCAGAATAGAGGGAATAAAATGGTATGATAGAATAACTAATGTAGAACTTTGGGAGAGAACTAAACAGGCTCCAGTGGATCAGGAAGTGAGGAAAAGACGCTGGCATTGGATAGGGCACACACTGAGAAAACAGGAGAACAGCATTACTAGAATGTCTTTGCCTTGGAACCCACAGGGGCATAGGAATAAAGGAAGGCCAAAAAACACATGGAGAAGAGAGCTGGAGAACGAGGTTAGAAAGATTGGGAGGACATGGGGAGAGCTCCATGCAATGGTGAAGGATAGAACGACTTGGCGTGAGTTGGTTGAGGGCCTATGCTCCATTAGGGGATAGAAAGGCAGAAGAAGAAGAAGACATACATTTAAACCTAGTTAATTACTTTGTAAGACTCATTTGATAGGCATTTCTCATTTGTCATATAGTAGAAGGCTGAGTCACCAAATTCACTCATTAATCAAATTAGTTTTCAATGGATGTTATCACCCCTGCATCGAGGTGTGGGCTAACGAGTGCCAGAGTATTTGTGAACACTGCATCTCTGGGAGTTCACCAGCTGTGAAATTATCTGCCAGCTCTTTTTATGTCAGTGTTGGACATTATCTATGGCACACAGCATGGACGTTTGGCAGGAGTCTTGCATGAGGATATATTAAACCAACACAGAGCCTGCTGGCAACCGAAGGAAAGTACAAAGTGTCTCCATAGACAAACCACAATGGCCTTACCTATCTCTCATATCTGTGACTGATGTCACCACCTCACCATTCTCTTTAGGTGCTGATCCATTTTAGTTGTCACACAATGTTTGGTTTGGATTGTTTCCTTAAAATAATGGTAGTTGAATACAAATGAATAGTTTGACATGAGGTAAAGATGACCCTGAAGTGCAGTCAACAAACTAGTCAGTCCACCAATCAGTCAGTTACCCAACCAGTGAACTGTCCAAACACTGCATTATCCAATCAGCCCCAACAATCAGTCAATTACCCAACAAGCCAACTGACCAATCAGTGCGTTATCCAATCAGCCCCACCAATAAGTGAATTGCCCATCAGCCAACTGACCAATCAGTACATTATCCAATCAGCCAAGTAACCAGTTAGTAATTTTACCTGTCAGCTTACCAGTGAATCAGCCAACCAGTCAATTCACCAGTCAGGGATTTAACCAGCCAGTAAATCCAGTAAAGTGAGGAGATATAATTTTATGATCTTGAATGTTGAATTGAGAATCAAGATTACAGCACTCAGGACACTCCCATAAGTGCTCTATCCTCATCTTCAGCAGTAAGCGAAGAGTTTCAATTCTGATGGCACCACTGACTGTCTGATTGCATATCCGTCTTCTTGCCTTTCCCTTGAGTGTTGAGCATCGGCTAGATCATCTGGTAACTCCTCACAGCGCCATTCTCCTCAGACCATAATGATCTGTTTGTGCCTCCGCACTTTTCACTCGCTCTTAAAGAGCCCTCACAACATCTAGCATGTCATCATACATCACTTCACCACTAAGTGGGGCTGAACCGGCCAGTCTGTCTGCCTGCTTGTTTCCTAACACACCTTATATCAACCTGAATGCTGTTGTATTTTTCAGAGCTGAGCGCAGCTTTAACCAGTCACTACGGCGACAGCAGGATGAGGCCTACTTGGAGTCTTTAAAAGCTGACCAGGAGAAAGTAAGTCCTGAAGGCACATTGAACACAGCAGAGTTAGATAAAATTTGAGGTTTTCAGCTGCACAGGAGCTCAGAATCAGAATAATTGGCCATCTGCGGAATGATTTTGAGATGATTTAAGTCAGAGTCAAGAAGATCAGGTTCATTGCACTGTTTTTTTAAAATCCCATATGGCTCAGTTTTCTCTGCAGAATGGCTAGCTGCATGCTGAGAGCATTACACAGATCATGAACACTGTAGCTCTGGTCACGATCCCCAGCGGTCTCCGTAAGAGCTGTGAAACAAACCCACAAACTTCACAGTGGAGACAAACGGCTTGACCACTTCGCCAGGGTGACCCTTTGGGAAGAGAAAACTACATGTATTGAGGTGGTTGTTAACATCTTTCCAGGCGATAGCGTTCCATTGTGCTAAGGGAGCCTGGGACACCTAGGAATCAAAGTCCATGATGATGCTTGTTACGACCAGGGGTGACATATCTTCTCTACATAGCACAAAGCCTGCGAAGTATTGCAGAGACTGTGTTGCTTTAAGCCAGTAGAGATGTGGTTTGTTAGAATATCATGGTCAGAGAAGAAAATAAAAGAATGCATTACTAGTGCCCCCAGTCTCTTCTCACTGTGGGGTATACTGAGGGAGTTTGAACATTCAAGGGCTGAATGATAGATGCGTAAAGGTTATGATCCATCTGCTAACTAACATGATAGATCTGTTATACTTTTGATGTGTTGTTTCTCTGAAAATTGTATGATTGATCTGTTATACTTCTATGTATTGTATAACATTAAAGGCAAAGAAGAATTAATGGCTGCTTTTCCACGATTTGAAATATATCAAGCATATGGAATTAACCTGGATGGAAAATTATCTGCTAGTGTGAATTAGAACTAATGGCTGTTGGGATGGCACTCAATCATTCTAGCCACTGCACTGGGACTCACATATAATTATGAACTGTTCAGCTTTCCCTGTAGTGTACAAGAAGAAAAACAAAGTGCAAACAGGCTACCAGAACACAAGTTCTGTCTTCATGCGCTGTTTACTCATAAGGGATTAACAAATGATCTCCAATACTGCTGGTCTACTGCTTTCCTCTTTTGTTTTTTATGTCAATTTACATTCCTTCATCCCTTTTTCTACTATCCTTCTTCAGTGTTTCTTATTTTGTCCATATCTCCTTTTTCCATCCGTTTTGTTTTTACTCCTCAGTTCTTTTTATTCAGAATTCTTCCTTAAACATTTATTTTGAAATGTTTCTAGTTTCATTGTAATTCCTGATGTCTTTTTCCTACACACAGTTGTATATTTATCATCATCATCATCATCATGTAGCAGGTCCTTTGCAGAACGTCGCACTCATCACAGTCTGCCTGAAAGAAACTCATTCTCTCGCCAGTTCTCCCGCCTCATATACTTTCATACTCTAGGAGTCACTTATATCCTGTGCCCATCTTCATGTCGGTCAGCTCCTGCCCCTCCTTCCTGGTACCATGCCTTCTGCTATAATTTTGTCCAATCCGTCGTGGCGCTTGATATAACCAAAATATTTCAGCTTCCGAGAAAGGATGCTGTTTATTAACAAATCTTCCTTGATGTTCAGATCTTTTAAGATGTCAGAGTTTCTCCTCTTCTTTGTCCAAGATATTCTGAGAATCTTTCTATAGCATTTCAGCTCAAAAGCCCCTATTCTCTTTCTTAAGGACTCAGAGATAATCCATGACTCACATCCGTATGTAGCCACAGGGAAGATGCATGCTCTCAAAATTCTAATTTTTATCTCCTTGCTGGTGCTTAACCATAGACTTTTAAAGGCTGTTCAATCTTTGCATTGCTATGGCCATCCTGCTTTTGATTTTTGTCGAACAGTCTCCATTGCTGTTTATTATAGAGCCTAGATATTCAAAGTTTGTGACATTTTCAATTTCTTCATCATTTATTGTTATTTTTGGGTGACAGGCAGTTTTATCTGTAGAAATTATTTTCGTTTTCTTTAAATTCAAGACCAGATTTTGATCTTCACTGTGCTTTTGGACAGACAATATTACATTATCTATTTCCTTTACACTGTTCGAAAGGAGGACTGTGCCATCTGCGTAGTGGAGTTCCGGAATAGGGTTGCCACCAATTTTGAACGGATCATAACTGTCACAAGTCTGGTCATTTTTGACATATGTATATTAATAGTGTTCCTAAAATGTTGCTCTTAAATAATGTGAGTTTTTATCTCATGTATATTTACTACCCAGCAGAAACATCACTTTTATTTTTATTTTTAAACAGGACAAGAAGAAAAGAGAGGAAAGAGAAAGACAAGAACTAGAAGAATTGAGAAAGCAACAAGAGAAAGAAGAGAAAGAGCAGAAATATTTGGTGAGTGTATGTTTATGACTTCTTCTATTCTTCTTCTTCTTTGTGTTCACCAGCTGGAAACTCTGGCTAAATGTTCTGGTTGTTCATCCACTTCTGGACTGCAGTCTTGTTCCAGAACCTGAGTGTTGCGTGTGCATCCATTTTACAGTTCTGACTCATTTGTATGCAGACTGCTGGTTCCTTGCCTCTCAGGCAGATGCACTTCGACTTCAAAGGAAGCCCCCCAATTAATTGACTCTTACGACAGGCTTTTGGGTAGGCAGTGGGTCTATTGTTTTTCCCACAATAGGGCCCTGGAACCCACACAAGGATTCTTCTATAGCCTCATCTTTCATTTTCTTCATTTTTTAGTTTACAAATGGTCACTCTTGTTGTTACTCCGCCAGCTCTTCATCTCGACCTGCTACATGTAAAGCCCTCAAAAGTCACTTCACAAAGATAATTCTTGCAGCTTGGTTTCCATGGCTCTTGTCATTGATGATATGGTTCTCATTATGCCTCTGTGGCTTTGATATTTGCAGGAGAAGGAACAAAAGAAGAGTGAAATTGAGAGACTGCTGCCACCAGAGCCCGAAGCAAACCACCCAGATTCCATCCGTATCATGTTGAAGATTCCTAGTGGGTGTCGCATTGAGCGGAGATTTTTGAGAAGTCAGTCGATTAAGGTGAGACCTGACTCATTGTTTCGGAGACAACCTAGTAGACATTTCATGATTTCCAAAGCAATCTAGTAGAGATGTCATTATTTTTGAGACCGTTAAAGAGTTGTCATGATTTGTGGAGTAAACTAGTATAAATTTAATGGTTTCTGACATAGTGTAAAAGAGTTCTTTGACACAGTCTAAGATATCATTTCTGACACAGTCTAATAAAAAGTAAAGAAAGGTTCCCTTTTCACGTCTTTAGGCGCATCGGGCATATGGGAAGAGCACCCATGTTTTTTTTACAGACCATTCGGCACAAGGTGGGTAATCTGGTCAGCATTACGCCAGCCGTCTTTACCTCCCCAGGACATACATCCTGGTCCCCATTTTAGTCTGGGTAGACCTGCTACAACCCATAGCATGATAGAAATCCAGGCAGCCAGCAGTTTGGAATTACGAGTCGGACTCACAACGCCTAAGCCATGGAGGCCACCTGATACAGTCTCTAGTAGACATATAATAATTTCTGATGTCAACTACAGTGTGCAGAAGGGACAGAAATGAAAGTCAGTGTGAGAGCTGACAAATATTTCATGATTTCTAAAAGAATTTAGAGTAAAATCCTGAATGCCTATTTGTAATGAAATGTTCTTCTTGATTTTTTTCAGAAATGTCTGAAAGAATTTATATTTTCCTCTTCAGCATTCTTCTGATAGTTTGTTGGTTTTCTGTTTTTTTTTTAAATATTTTTTTTTATTTATTCAGTTACTAAAATTTAATTTATTTTTGAACTTCTATAAATTGAACATTTGTTTTCTGCAAACTTTCTACAAAATGGTATGCCAGGAATATCAGTTGGTGGGCATAGTGTTAACCTGAGCTGTGCTGACGATATAATTTTGGTAGCTGAAAATGAAACACAACTGTAAGAAATTATAGATATAATTGTAACAGAAAATCAAAAGGGTCTTAGTTTGAACAGCATAAAAACAGAAGTGATGGTAATTACCAAGAAAACTGACCCTCTGAAAAGCAACATCAAAGGGCAAACCTCAAGCAGTTTGATATGTTTAAGTACATGGGTGCCCAGATAACATCTGATGGAAGATGTATTAAAGAAGTTAAATGATGAATAGCTCAAACTAAGTCAGCATTAAAAAAATGAAGAATATTTTATGCGATCTTTCTTTGTTAATTGAGACAAGAAAGAGAATTCTTAAAAGCTATATAAATTCTATCTTGATATATGGAAGTGAATCATGAACTTTTGGCAGATTAGTGAAACAAATTTTGGAAGCTGCAGAGATGTGGTTTTATATACAAATGATGAGCTGTCTTGGCAGAAACTGACTCACAAAGAGAACTGATTGCCCACATCAGAAAGAGACAATCTACTTTCTTTGTTCATGTGATGAGAAGAAGAAAGCTGGAGTATATCATCAAAGTAAGAGGAAAGTTGGAGGGGAGAAGAGGGAGACTGAGAGAAAAGATGCTGGGCAGTTTGACATCATGTCAAGGAGGATCACCCATATCAGAGTTGATTGAAAGTACACAAGACAGAAGGATAAACATGACTATGATGCCACAGGGCATAGACTTTGAGAAGAACTTTCTACAAGGTCAGCTAATCTCCTTTTCCCTTTGTAGGTCAGTAAGTCATGATTTGTGTATTGTGTGTATGTATATATGTGTGTGTGTATACACACATATGTATGTATGTGTATATAAATATATGTGCATACACACACACACACACAACACATGTCACACATTTGCACACATATTTACACATACATTTTAAATCCTATACCTGTGTAAGTTCATTGTCTGTTTAGACATTTCTGTTTTCTAAGCCATCTTGTTCATCATTATTCAGTAAAGTCTAATGTATGTTCAAACCTATCCATGCTTTCCAAGATAATTAATCTGCTTGTTTGTTTCTGCACTTTTTTCCAGTGGCTGTTTTACTATGTCTTCTGCCACAAAGAATGCCCGGATGATTTCCAGATTGTCACAAACTTTCCCAAGCGGACATTACCATGTGAGCCTAGAGATAATGAGACTGATCCCCCAACTTTTGAGGAAATTGGCCTCGGCAGGTCGGAGATGCTGTTTGTTCATGATAACCAGGCATAGTAAGGCCATTGCCAGGTGTGTGCGTGAAAGTGTACGCATGTAGGTTTGTGAATGCATCTAAGTGGGGAAGAGGGGAGGGGAGTGGGTGGCATATTTGTATGTCAGTTTGTCTTGCTATGTGTGTGGTCTTCATAATCAGAGGCAGTTATGTTCTCTTGCTGATACTTAGTTGTGTATTGTTGTTAATTTTAATTTGTTTCAGTACCAGAAGATTTGGCAGCAAATGCCCATTGAGGGAAAATTATGAATCCTAAAGAGGATAGGGTCATGGTGAATTAGGTCACTTGAGAAGCCATATTTTGTTACTATGCTTTGACCAAATTTAAAGTAAATGAGAACACATTTTTCGCTGGCTGTGATTCATGAGGAGGGAAGCCACTATACAATTTTTTGGAACTGAAAGAGTTAATTTGTGTTATATATTTTTTTTAATTTTATTGCTATTATTATTATTTATTATTATTATTTTAGTTTTACATATATGTGTGTGTCATCAGCTGAAAAGATATTACTTAAGCCATACTCAGAAACCTAGATGTTAGCCTGTCTGCCCAGAGGTCTTGAGTTTGAATCCGCATTGAGTCGGATTTTTGTTGACAAAATTGACCTCGGCTCCTGTATTGACCGCGCCTCAAATGGGTACCCGGTAATTTCGTAGGAAGTCAAGGTGGCCGACATGATGTTGACCGCATCATCCACTGAGTGCTGATTAGTATATACAAAATATGAATACTGTATAATATGCCCAGTGTGCTTTGGGGAGAACATCTTCTTTACATGTTTACTCAGAGACAGTTCTGTAGTCTGTGATGCCAGCTCTTGTTCTAATGGCCCTTTCACTTTGTCTATAAATAGCCCTAACACAATCTAAAATTGTTCCATTTATACCGTAGTTTTCAAGAACTTTCCATAATAAATTTCTGTTTACTCTATCGAAAGCTTTTTCTTGATCTATGAAAGCGATGTTCATTTGATGTCTGTGTTCTATTGTCTTTTCGCTAACTTGTCTTAAAGCAAAAATAGCGTCAGTACACCCTCTTCCTTTCCTAAATCCGACCTCTGATGGGCTCAGGATCGGTTCTACAACGGATCTAATTCGTTGTTCCAGAATTTTGGCAAACATTTTTCCTACGTGGCTTAGAAGGGAGATGCCTCTGTAATTGTTACAATCTTGCTTATTGCCTTTTCTTTTCCAAATTGGGACTATAAGGGCTCTTTGCCAGTCTATTGGTACAGTTCTTTCATTCCAGGCTTTCCTAACCATGTGGAGAAGCCAGGTGACTCCAATTTCTCCACAAGCCTGTATTGCCTCGGCTGATATTCCATCAACACCTGATGCCTTATTTTTGGGACTGCATCTGATGGCTTCTCTGACTTCTTGTTCGATTATTGTAGGCTGTTCCTCGTTTGTACATCTGGGTGTGAATGGTACTGTTTCCTCATTTCCTGTTACATTTAGAAGAGTCTGAAAATATTCTTTCCACCTTTCTCTGATCTTGCCCTCCTCATGTATGGGTTTGCCTTGACTATCATAACCTGTACATAACTTTGTAAATCATTGCATTTTAAAACATTAATTGAACTTAATTATTTATCATGACAAAGATTAAATTTTTAAATTGTTCAGCTGTCTACTTTTGAATACTGATGTCATTAAATGTTCGTATTTTGAGGATATTTAGTTTCAAACTATCAAATACTCATATTATTTAATATATAATTTTATTTGCGTGTGCATACAATTGGTTTTGAGCAGACTACAATCAATTTTTAACAAGTAACAGTGATGACGTTCTGTCTGGTTTTCATTGTCATAGAAACAGAGCAACTACGAGGTGATCTGTTTGCCATGAAGCTGGAACTGCTGATAATTAACTAATTCATATTATTGAAATCATATTATTGAATACTTATGACTTTCAATGTTAACAAAATTTGTATTTTTTTGGGGTTCTGTCACTACTGTCTGTTTTACCACTTTTTAGGCGCTGTAGATGCGGGGTTTGACCCTGAGGATTGATGGCCGCCTGTCTGTGTGCTGCCGCCACAGATTGTGCAGGTTATGATGATATGTATAATATATTTTTTTGTTTTAAATATTGATCGCAAATCTAACTTCCTCTTCTTCTTCTGTGCATTCACCGAGTGCATTCGCCAGTGGAAATTTCTGGTTGTTCATCCACTTTTATAGTACCAATCCATATTTGTCTAACTTTTATCCCAAACTGGTGCATAGGCTTTCAACCACCTCATGCCAACCCTCCCTATCCTTTGCTAACTCCATCAGCTTCATCCTTGTCTTTCTCCTTTTTGTTTTTCTCATCCCTCAGTTATTTCATCCAAGTGGTATTGTTTGTTTATATTTTCTGATCTGTTTTATAGACTGTATATCCTAACTGTAACCCAGAAGGGTTGAATAGGCTATTAGTGTTGTAGATGCTGCCAATTTCAGCCTTTATATACCACTTCAGCAGTGAAGGCATAGGGGGTCTTTGAGTCTGAGGATTTAAGGCAGCAAGGCTAGTGCTGTTGCCATGAATGTGCAGGTGAGTGTTTTAGTTTTCTCCAGACTGAAAAAATCTCCACCCTTACAGAGGATTCGAACCTGGGTCTCCCGCATGAGAGCGCAGCATTCTAACCGTCGGCCAGCCGCTCCTCATAGTGACATAGATACTACTTCATAAATACTTTTATATTTTAGCCTTCAAATGTTAAGATTATGTTGAATAAATTGTAAATGTTCATAGAGAATTTCAAGAGTTGACTTTCTATTGCTTGGCATGTGAACTATTTTCTTTCCTTGTTGATGTGCATTTCACGTATGTGACAGATGTGTGTTTGTGTGGGTATGTGACAGATTAACCTAAGTGATGTCACATATGTGATGATGTGTGAATATGTGACAGATGAAACAGTGAAGTGACAGATGTGAAGTAATATATGTGATATGTGATGTATATGATATGTGATGTATATGACAGTGTGAGAGTATTTATTTGAGTCTGATCCATTCATTAAACACAAAATCCATTCTTGTTAAACTTTTCACAAAAAGATTAATACAACAGGGTCATTAGGCATTACATTTGTGACAGGGTAGCTGGGCATTACATTTGTGACAGCGTCGCTAGGCGTTACATTTGTGAAAGGGTTGCTAGGCATTACATTTGTGAAAGGGTCGCTAGGCATTACATTTGTGACAGTGCCCCCTCTACCTTGTAAGAAGCTTCTTATCCCAGCCAAACACTGTGTTGTTGAATCTACGAAATGTACTTCCATTCAGTGATTGTGAACTTTTCTTTCATGAATCAGGGGACAGCAAGTGACATTAAACTTAAGGATTACAATGTATATGTGTAAAAAAAAAAAGAATAATTCTGACTTAGAGATAATACTGAGTGAAAGAATACAATTTAGGGGTTGCTTCAGTTCTGCAGTGCCTATGCACAAGCCGCCACTGAAGGCAACAAAACTGTCTACCTCATCCCAGTGAAAACTTTGGGTGAGAAAAAACAACCAGAATAGTTTTAGAACTACGATGAACGGTGGCTGGCTGAATGGTTAAGAATGCTAGGTTATCATGTGGGTGACCAGGTTTGAATCATCGGTAAGGTTATATATTTGCTTTTTCCTGTTGGCAAACAATATAAAATCCTAATCTGCACAGTCCACAGCGACCATACAATCCATAAGACCCGAGATCCACAGCTTCACAAACCCTGTGGCTACACCCCAAAAGTTTTTTTTTTTTTAAATTATCCAGAAACCACGAGTTGTTAACCCTTTGGCTCGGTACTATGGATATCGCAACCATTCGGCCTTGATTCCATGATAGATACCGTAAATCTAGGAAAAATGTGGCTTCTCTGCCTAACCCCCGGGCGTGAACCCGGACCACAAGGAGTATGTCACTCAGTCACCGCGAAGTCCGGGCCCACAAAAGGGGTAAAAACACTTTACATACAATATACAAACTCTGGCAGTGGAACAGTTTGGGACACCGTAACACAGCATCAGTTAGTACATCATTTCTATTATGATGATAAATTAGTAATGATAGTTGATAACTGGGAGCAAGACAGCACAAACATAATACACAATCACACCAATATAAGACACATTAACATAAACATTTAAAAAATAATGTAAAGTTGTGAAACCATTACTGTGACAAGTTTAAAAGTAAAAAACTTGATGAATCAATTACCCCCTCCCTCTCTCTCCACCTTCTATTGTTTTTTTCTCTCTTTATCTCTCTCATTCTCTTTCTCAAGAATATTATCAACAAACACTTTAACTAGGATCAATTAAAAACTGTAATTGTTTCTTTTTGATTTACACTAGTTCAATCATTACTGCTGTGTGACAAATGCACTGAATTGAATAATGTGGAGGGTGTGACAGATGTATGTGACTTCAATCATTCATAACATGCCACAGATGCACATGGAATACTTCTGTCATCAGTAATGTCAAACATGTAAATTACTTCAATTATTAGTACCTTCACATTACTTCAATCATTAGTAAAATGCCAAATATTTATGTTAGTTTATCATTACTATGTGACATCTTCACATTGCTCTAACAGTTGTATTATGTGAAATAATCACATTGCATCAATCATTGGTAATATGTGACATCTTCACATTACTTCAACTGTTGTATTACATGACATAATCAAACTGCGTCAATCATTGGTAACATGTGACATCTTCACATTACTCTGATCATTGGTAGCTTGAAAGAGATCACATTACTCGAATCAGTAATATTTCGTATTTTCACATTACTTCAATCACTAGTAATATGTGTCAAATCTTTGTTACTTTAATCATTACAACCACAAGCTACTGGTGATTAAAGTAATGTGGCATACTCCCATTATTTTAACCATCAGTAGCTTATGGTCAATTGACACTACACATTACTTTCATCTTCAGTAGCTTGTGGTCAATTCACACTACACATTACTTTAATCATCAGCAGCTTGTGGTCAA